AAGAATTTAGACCACAGTCATAAACTACTAGCTGGGCTTGAAAAAAAAAGCATAGAGGATACCAGAGAAATCCTTGATGCAGAGATAATAGACCTAAAAACTAGTCAGGCTGAAATAAAAAGTGCTATAACTGAAATGCAGAACCAACTGGATATAATCACAATGAGGATGGAAGAAGCAGTGGAGAGAATAGGTGATACAGAAGATAAAACTATGTAAAATAATGAAGCTGAAAAGAAGAAGGAAAGAAAACTACTAGATCATGAAGGTAGATTGGGGAACTCAGAAATTCCATTAAGTAAAATAATATCCATATCATCGGAGCCCCAGAAGAAGAAGAACAGGAAAGGGAGGCAGAAGATTTACTTGAACAAATTATACCTGAGAATTTCCCTGATCTGGGGAAGGAAACAGGCATTCAAGTCCAAGACGCACAGAGCACTCTCCTCAAAATAACAAAAACAGCTCAACACTGCGACATATCATAGTGAAACTTGCAAAATACAAAGATAAAGAGACAATTCTGAAAGCAGCTAGGGACAAAAGGTCCTTATCCTACAAGGGAAGATACATAAGGTTAGCAGTAGATCTTGCAGGCCAGAAGAGAATGGCAAGATATTTTCAAATTGCTAAATGGGAAAAATATGCAGCCAAGAATACTTTATCTAGCAAGGCTGTCATTCAGAATAGAAGGAGAGAGAAAGAGTTCCCAAGACAAGCAAAAAGCTAAAGGAGTTCGTGAACACTAAACCAGCTCTGTAAGATATATTAAAGGGGACTCTTTGAGTGGAAAAGAGAGTCCAAAAGCAACAAAGAATAGAAAGGAACAGAGACAATCTACAGGAACGATGACATTACAGGCAATACAATGGCATTAAATTCATATCTCTCAATAATTACTCAATGTAAAGGACTAAAATCTCTAATCAAAAGGCATATGGTATCAGAATGGATAAAAAAAAAATAAGACCCATCAATATGCTGCTTAAAAGAGACTCATTTTAGACACAAAGTTACTTCCAGATTGAAAGTAAGGGGATGGAGAACAATTTATCATGCCAATGGACATCAAAAGAAAGCTGTAGTAGCCATAATTATGTCAGAAAAACTAGATTTTAAACCAAAGACTGTAATAAGAGATGAAGAGGGTATATATCATAATAATGTCTATCAAACAAGATCTAACAACTATAAATATTTATGCCCCTTACGTGAGAGTAGCCAAATAAATAGTCAATTAATATCAAACTTAAAGAAGCTCATTGATAATAATACAATAATAGTAGGGGACTTTAACACCTCACTCATAGCAATGGACAGATCATCTAAGCAGAAGAGCAACAAGAAAACAGTGACACACTGGACCAGATGGACTTAACAGATATATTCAGAGCATTTCATCCTAAAGCAGCAGAATACATTCTTTTTGAGCACACATGGAACATTTTCCAGAATAGATCACATACTAAGTCACAAATCAGGCCTTAACCACTACAAAAAGATTGAGATCATACCATGCATATTTTCAGACCACACTGCTCTGAAACTTGAAATCAATCATAGGAAAACATTTGGAAAGACCATAGATACCTACTAAAGAATGAATGCATCAACCAGGAAATTAAAGAAAAATTTTAAAAAATACATGGAAGCCTATTAACATGAAAACATACAGTTCAAAACCTTTGGGAGGCAGCAAAGGCAGTCCTAACAACACAGGCCTTCCTCAAGAAGCAAGAAAAGTCTCAAATACACAGCCTAAACTTACATCTAAAGGAGCTGGGAAAACAACAACAAATAAAGTCTAAATCCAGCAGAAGAAGAGAAATAATAAAGATTAATGATATAGAAATCAAAAAAAAATAGTAGAACAGATCAACAAAACTAGGAGCTGGTTCTTTAAAAGAATTAACAAAATTGATAAACACCAAGGCAGACTTAACAAAAAGAAAAGAGAAAGGACCCAAATAAATAAAATTATGAATGAAAGAGGAGAGATCACAATCAACACCTCAGAAATACAAACAACTATAAGAGAATATTAGAAACAATTATACACCAACAAATCAGGCAATCTGGAAGAAACGGATAAATTCCTAGAAACATATAAACTACCAAAACTGAATCAGAAAGAGTAAATCTGAATAGACCCATAACCAGCAAAGAAATTGAATCAGTAATCAAAAATCTCCCACCAAACAAGAGTCCAGGCCCAGATGGCTTCCCAGGGGAATTCTACCAAATATTTAAAGAAGACTTAATACTTATTCTTCAGTTCCAAAAGTGTTCCAAAAAGTAGAAATGGTAGGAAAACTTCTAAACTCATTTTATAAGGCCAGCATTACCTTGATTCCAACCAGACAAAGAACCCACTAAAAAGGATAATTACAGATCAGTATCCTCGATGAACATGGACGCAAAAGTTCTCAACAAGATACTAGCTAATTGAATCCAATAGTACATTAAAAGGATTATTCACCATGACCAGGTGGAATTTATTCCTGGGCTGCAAAGGTGGTTCAATATCTGCAAATCAATCAAGGTGATACATCACATTAATAAAAGAAAGGATAAGAACCATATGATCCTCTCAATAGATGCAGAAAAAGCATTTGACAAAACATGACATCCTTTCTTGATAAAAATCCTCAAGAAAGTAAGGATAGAAGGAACATACCTCAAGATCATAAAGGCCATATATGAAAGAATCACAGCTAACATCATCCTCAATGGAGGAAAATGAAGAACTTTTCCCCTAGGGTCAGGAACACAACAGGGATGTCCACTCTCACCACTGTTGTTCAACATAGTACTGGAAATCCTAGACTCAGCAATCAGACAACTAAAAGTAATAAAAGACATCCAAAATGACAAGGAAGAAGTCAAACTTTCACTCATCGCAGACAACATGATACTTTACGTAGAAAACCCAAAAGACTCCACCAAAAAATCTCTAGAACTAATACAGGAATTCAGCAAAGTTGTAGGATATAAAACCAACACAGAAGTCTGTTACATTTCTATACACCAATAATGAAGCAGCAGAAAGAGAAATCAAGGAATCAATCTCATTTATAATTGTACCAAAGACCATAAGATACCTAGGAATAAACCTAACCAAAAAGGTAAAAGATCTGTACCCTAAAACTATAGAACACTTATGAAATAAATTGAGGAAGACACAAAGAAATGGAAAAACATTCCACGCTTATGGACTGGAAGAACAAACATTGTTAAAATGTCTATGCTACCCAAAGCAACCTACACATTCAGCAATCCCTATCAAAATAACACCAGCATTTTTCACAGAGCTAGAACAAACAATTCTAAAATTTGTATGGAACCAGAACAGCCAAAGTAATGTTGAAAAAGAGAAGCAAAGCTGGAGGTGTCACAATTCTGGACTTCAAGCTATATTACAAGGTGTAGTCATCAAGACAGTATGGTACTGGCACAAAGACAGACACATAGATCAATGGAACAGAATAGAGAACCTAGAAATGAACCCACAACTATATGGTCGACTAATCTTTGACAAAGGAGGAAAGAATATCCAATGGAAAAAAGACAGTCTCTTCAACAAATGGTGTTGGGAAAATTGGTCAGCCACATGCAGAGGAATGAAACTGACCACTTTCTTAAACCATACACAAAAATAAATTGAAAATGAATGAAAGACCTAAATGTGAGACAGGAAACCATCAAAATCCTAGCGAGAACACAGGGAGCAAGTTCTTTGACCTCACCACAGCAACTTCTTGCTAGACACATCTCCAGAGAGAAGGGAAACTAAAGTAAAAATGAACTATTGGGATTTCATTAAGATAAAAAGCTTCTGCACAGCAAAGGAAACAATCAACAAAACTAAAAGGCAACTTACAGAATGGGAGAAGATATTCACAAATAACATATCAGATAAAGGGCTAGTATCCAAAATCTATAAAGGACTCATCAAACACAACACCCAAAAAACAACAACAAAAAAAAATCCAGTTAAGAAATGGGAAGAAGACATGAACAGACATTTCTCCAAAGAAGACATACAAATGACTAAGAGACACATGAAAAAATATTCAACATCACTCAGCATCAGGGAAATGCAAATTAAAACTACAATGAGAATAACAATTGCACTACTAGGTATTTATCCAAAGGATAAAAAATAATTATTTAAAAGGGCCCATGCACCCCAATGTTTATAGCAGCACTATCCGCAATAGCCAAAATATGGAAAGGGCCCAAATGTCCATTGACTGATGAACGGATAA